CGGGATCTTCTAATATAGAACTTTAATTTGAGTTCTACCAATGGGTAGTTTCTCTTCATGTTGTACATGCCATGTTACAAATTTCTCATTTACTTATTGTATTCTCTATGTAATACAGTTGTAAATTCCATTAAAATAATAAAAAAAAAAAAAAACTTTTATGGAATGCTTTATTTGGCGAATTAATTCAATAAATTCTGGTTGAAACATTGAGAAATAAATAACATCCTCTTATAATCACTACCACCTTTATTCGTAAAAAAAGTGAGATAAGAAGAGGAGAACATATTCGTCTTCACGGAGCTCTGATATTTGATTAAACGTAGTAATTTGGACTTCATTTGAGGGAGGGAGGGTATGTTTTGCAGCTATCGAATCATAATAAGTTTTCTTGCTATATTTGTTTCGCATAATTCAATTAAAAAACCAGAAATAACAGCCATAGATTTTTTAAAGGACGGGTTGGTCGAGCGGACTACTCCCTGCCTGGCAACCTGATAAACCGAAAATTGTGAATTCTAATTTTGGTGCCCGGTGACTTTTAACTCTAGAATCAATACCCCGTCCTCTCCTCTGGACTGAAAAGGCGAATAAACCGTATAGCCGAAAAGGCGAGGTAGAGTGGAAAAAAAACGTCATGAAAGTTAGGATTCTCTCCACTTCTAGACCTTTTTCTATTGATTCAAAGATGTATTGGTTTTGTACAAGTGTATTATGCTTAAGTATGCTTTAAACTTGATTATTTAACCGGAAAGTGATCAGCTGTTAAGTTGACTAATACAAACTATTTTCCTCTTCAGATATAGGAAAAACAAATTGCTGTTACACGGTTATGTTAAGATATTGCTAAAATATGAGATACTCCTAGCCTTAAATTCCGAATTTACCTTCTGTGCTAATTCTCATGGATAAGCTGGGTTGTGTTTCCGCCCTAAATATTCCTTATCCAAACGAGTTTCACAATTGCTGCTATATTATGGAGTAAACCCAACTTTACTTGGCAGTATTAAAATGTACAAGTCAGTCGCACTATTTTTCCTGTTTCTGTTTCTTTTTAATGAAGGAAACTCCCTCCTCTTAAATTGTACTATCTATGGGTTTCCGGTAAGAACTAACAAAACTACTATGATCTAGACGTTTACTTTTAGTTTATATACGTATCAGGGACGTAGCTATAAGATATTATTTTTGGTTTGAAGGTAAGAAAAAAAATAAATTTTTCCTTTTATTTCAATAATAGCAAGATTTATCAAGAATATTAGTAGTATGAATAGAATTTCTCTGCTATTTCAGTAGCTGAAACAAATTTTGCTGGAAGCAAAGTTTAAATAATTGCGATAGATTTAAATGATAAAGAAATATATTAATATCCTAACTCTTCCAGAATTAAAATTTTCACTCACCTGTTGATAATTAACCATATACAACAATATTCTTCTTTTCTTTTCGTATTAATAAAATTCTAATTCTTTAACTTCAGAGGTAATGGTACTGGATTAAAATTTTAATGAATCTTTGAGTTTAATGTTTGACCACAATTTTCGCAGTAGGTTTCTGAAATTTAATTTTTTCCCCATTTCAAATAAAATTCTGGAATTCAAAATATTAGAAATCCCCTTCAACTTCCTATATAAAACGGTTTGGCCTTTACATAACTTTATATGTTACAAAACTATTAAAGTATTAGAAAGTATTTTTAAAGTCACTTTTACTTATCCAGTATTTTTTTAGAAATTACAGCCATATAAACCTATTTTCAATTCTTGTTGATATATATTATTTTTCCTATGTTTACTTAAATTTCTGTGTACTGACGTACTCAAACTGAAGGATTGAAATATTCACGCTACCATTCTTACATGAATTTAAACTCGGGTAGGTTGGTCAGAAAGATAAATATGTTTTTAGTTCGGAAAAGGTTATGTAACTGAAGAAAAATAAATATATAGTTACACTTCAACTATGTTTGGGTTTTTTTTTTTGCCTCGAAGTAAAACCAAATATATCAAAAACTTCGCTTTCCTGATTGATTAAATACTCCCACACTATAACGCCTGACCTCATGTTTCAACTCTGTTAAAGTTTTCTGCTATAACATTTCAGTTGTTCAGCATTATCATGGATATCTTACACGACATTCAGTATTATTATTTATTTGCTGTTAAGGCGATTTATTATACTTAAATTATTTGTTAGTAACACCTTACGTCTCGAATTATTGAGCATATCAATAATCTATCTACATAGCTACATTTTATGCTCATGTGCAAGGTAATCTGCTAAAAATGATTTTAATTGTATTCACCCGCTGAGGCGTCTGAAAAGATCTACTCATTCGTGATCTACTTATTTAGATATATTATTAAAGTGCTACCAGTGGATAATTTCTCGACAAGCGTTTTCAAATGATTATATTCCTCTGTACACATTTACTTGATGTTTTTATATCGTAATACAGTTTTAAATATTATAAATTTAAAAAAATAGTATTCGTTACTAAAAGAAATAAATTAAAAAAAAATATTAAATTTGATACAGTTTTGCTAGTCAACATTTTAAAATGTATTGATTCTATTCAGATATATTGTTGACTAATTAAAATCCGAAACAACAGCAGAGAATTCCTAAATTACAAAAAAAGTTATTAGAAGCAAATTTCGTGTTCCTTAAGCAGCCTCCTAGATCTAGATGGGTGAGAAAGCTGAGGCAGTGGTGACTGGATATGGTGGGGACAGACACCCTACATCCGCCAATCGGTTCCCTCCCTGTTTCCTGCTTCCGTTACACCCTCATCCGGCCAGCTCTTGCCCTTATATTTTGGCGCGCTACTATTTTGGCGGTTATTTGTTACCAGACAACCTACCCTCAGAAGGCTCATAGCGTTGAATATCTAATGTTAAGAGGAACTTGTACTGTAACATTATTGCAATGCTAAAAGCTTTGCTTTTCCATGTCAAATATTTTATTGACCCATACTGTTTACATGTAACTTGTTATTTTACACAAATTTTACTTTACTGACTGCATTAACATAATATTTTGTTACAATATTTACTTAGTTTGAATAGGAATGGAACTTTTGACAAGATTGAATACGGAAGTCACACTACACATATAAATGTATTATATGTTTAAATTTACATGAATGTGTTACATAAATATATTAATAATTCGAAATTTAGGTATATTTAATTTAGCGTAAACAATGAATGCAGTTATACAAAAACAAAGCAATACTAACAGAGATTATTATTGATAATTCAATTTAATTATAAGTTGTAAGAAACCATAGTCATTAAATCTCGAAAAAAGTAAACGAGCTCAAAATTGCATTTAAATTTTTAACTTTCTCAACGACAAATCTTAATTTAGGCTTCCTTCTATAAATATTTCATGAGAAAATTCATTTGGATAAAAAGTTAAAAATGGAAAGTATTAAGAGAAATATATACGTAAAACAAATACCTATAAGAGAAATATGTATGAAAAAGTTACAAGTTCCTGAAAATTATAGAAATATTACAAATGTAATAAAGATGATTTTGAAGCTCTACATTCCTTTGAGAGTTTATATTTCATAGACTCAATGTTTTATTTTACGTACTTACTGGGTGATATATATTCAGACTATGTCTAAATCCCATCTTATATATTAACTTAACAAAGAAAATTCATAAAAAGTAATAAATAAAAAAAGAATGGAATTCAGAACAAAGAGAAGGAATATGTTTTATATTGAACGTATTTCAACAACCAAATATGATATTCAGTATTTCTTTAAAAAAAAATATAGCGTCCTACAGTCCAAAATTCTCTCTAATTAGATATACCTGGAAAGAACATGTAATGTTAACAACCGAAAGAGAAAAATTAAAATATTGCTTTAAAAATTAAAATTTTAAAATACTGTATCAGAAAATTATATTATAATAGTTGAAATCGCTAGGAATTTTCAGAAACTGACATTCTGAAAAAATAAAAAAGTAATTGTTTTCTAGAAGCAACGTCCAAGGATCTGAATTTTATTTTATTTATTTTTTATATATTCATATTAGTGTTTTTTATTGTATGTTCTTTTTTCTTTGAACACATCCGATATACCCTAGCACGCTCGGATCACCCTTTATAGCTTCTCTGATGACATTGCAATTATTTCTTACGACAATAATCCTGCCATTGCTTCAGTTTCCCTTTACCTCAAATAACCTCTATGACCTAGAACAATGGTTCATAAAATGGAAAATCATAATTAATGGCAGAAAGACAATCCATGTTAACTTCTCCCTAATCAAGGTTTCGTGTCAAGCTGTGACAATAGACAAAAACCCAGTTCCCTCAAAAACTCATGTACGATATCTCGGATAAATAACTCACCTAGAGCATACGTATCAAATTAAAAAACAAAACAAGAAATGAACTGATTCAAACAACAGTCCCATCTTTATGACTACAGATCTGTTCTCAATTTACAAAATAAGCGAATAAGCTACATTACCATACTACGACCTACGTGGACGCGGAGTAAAACTTTGGAATTCCTCAAAACGCGTCCACATAAAAAAAATACAAACTGCATAGTCATATTTTGTAAAGTTCTTTGCCTTCTGAATTTTCATTCATGCTTTCTACTAAACAATTTTCAATCAAATATTCCAGCAACTCCGCGCTTTTATTTGCCATTTAAAAAAAAAAATCAAAACGTTATTTGATCAATCAAGTAGGAAAATCTTAAAACTTTGTTGCAATACTTTAGGAGGCTAGCAACAAAGGATCATTAATTCATTCATTTAAAATTTGTGCAAACTGCTTAGGATGATAATACTTTAAGCATTTCCAATAAGCTGCATGAATACCCATACTGTTGTTTAATTACTCTAATAAAATATGTATTTAATTTTTAAAAGCTATTCACAAAGTATTCTAGGTGCATTATAACTATATATTTGATTGTTATAATCTTTTTTATTTATATATTCATTATAACATATATAATATGAATGCTAGTGTGAGTCTGCTTCATCTTGCTGCGGGTACCCTCTCATCTCCTGCTTCCGGCTCATCAGCACATCGGTCTGCATGAACCCCCTCTTCATTCCTCTCAACTTCCTCCTCACCCCGGGATTCATAACGGAAAACCTCATAGGAAGCGCGCAGAACTTGGTTACTGATCTCACACAACCAAGTGGTTAAATAAGAGGTGGTAAAACAAACATTAGATCATTTGACTGTAATTCAAAATTTTCTATCCTATGTAATTTAAAGTACTAAGATACATCGATTATAATGCAAACAGTTTTAAAAATTTGAACTTAAAATTTATAATATACTTGTATAAGCAAATAAATAAATCAATTATAAATATCATTCTGAATTTGAAAGTTCACGAAATAAAGTTACAAATTGTATTTATTTATTTTTAAATAAGATGTGTGTTTGGAATGTATTTCCCATATTTAAGTAAAATATTAGGATCAATTGTGTACTTTCTAATGTAATTAAACAAGAAGAATAAATGCGTATAATTGTAAATGTATTAATGCAAATAAGCTGTAAAATAGGCTTGATATTAATATGCAAAATTGCATATTGCATAACAAATATACAATAATAATATAAATATACATCTTACCAGTAAAATCTATATTTTTTGGTTTGTTTTTCATGACCAATTATATCTTAATTATTTATACTTGCATTAATTTATAAACATTTTAAATTAATATATATCACCTCAACATCCAATAATTCAGTGGCTATCCTTGTTTTTAAACATATTGGAAATATTTAAACTTAAAACTCCCATTGTCCAAATGTTCTATCACCTTTTCACTCTTTTTCTTAACTGAAGTTCTTTAATGGTTAGTTGATATATATATATATATATATATATATATATATATATATATATATATATATATATATATATATATATATTATATATATATATATATATATATATATATATATATATATATAAATTCCCCAATCATATGGCAGTAAAACAAATAATATTTCTGGACATGTGGCGTTAAATGAGCTTTATTTGCTTCCAAAATAATTTATTCATTCCTAGGTAGTTTATACCTGTATTTTACATCTACTCCTGTGATATAAATTTTACTTTCTATTAAGTATTTGTATATGTTAGAGTTAACAAAATAAATAAGTAAATATCCGAGGTGGCTTATCATAACTTCTTTCATTATTCAAATCCGTTGTTTTAGCACTTGGCATTACTTGACTTAACAACGTAAATAATTATAGTTTTAACTAAAATTTTTGTAGTTAAAACTAGTGGCTTGTTACAAATTCAAGGTACTGATTAAATTTCATTAAGACAGCAACAATCACAACAAAACATTTATAATGATTATGCTTTAAAACATGCATTGTGTTTTGATAAAAAGTAAAAGGGAATGTTAAACAATATGGGAATGCAAAACTAGTAACGGGCTAAGTAACCGGTTCCTTTTAGGGTGTTACCAGTGAAGTAATAGGGTGAAGTTAAGGACCAATGAAAACTATCCTTGCCCCACCCTGAATATTTTCTATAAAATCTACCCGAAGGAAGAAAAGAGGTCTTATGTCAATTTCTGGCCTGGAGGATAGATCTTATGTTTTCTTCCGGCTTGGGGACTGAAGCCTTGGCCCGACACAGACCACTCATATGGGCGTCTTTGAGAAGTTTTTGGATCTGGCCTTGACGAGGTGACCTAGAATCAGCGGATGCAGCGATGAAACATAACTACACTACTTCATATACAATAGATAAGTTTTATTCCTAACAATAAATATAAAATGTTATAATACTTAATTGAAAAAAACTCTCAAAACAGTCCATCTGAAATCATGCCTTCACAGTTAATTATTAAATTCATTGAATCACGTATTTTGTTTTTGTAAATATAATCTGTATATATTCTTTATTAAGCCTAGAAATAAAGAAAGTTATTTTAATTCTGCCACCTATTTATATCATGATGATCAAAGGTAATGTGTGTAATTAGAAAGCATGATAAACACAAACCAGCCTTTGAGAAAAGAAATCCAATTACTCAATTCTGGACCAATCAATATATTATAGATCCAAATTTATTTTACTAATTTTTTATCAAACATTTCTAGGTAATTGTCAAATGGCATCCCGAATAAATTTCAACACCCCAAAACTTAGTATTTTTTATGTCACCCCTTTTATGGGGATAAGACATAGCACTAGTTTAAACTGATTTATTTTAGTCAAACCAGCTCAACCTTATTCATTTTTGTCAGATCGAGTTATAAATAATTCGTTTTAGTCATAACTAGTCTTAATTAGTTTATTTTAGGCGAACTTTTTTTTATTTATTTTTTATTTAGACATATAATATTCTGTCTCAGGGACAATAATTATATTGATAAATGAACACATTCACACCGTATATACAAAAAAAAATTAACAAAAGTAAAACAATAACTAAATAATACTAAATAAAAACTTAGGCTAACTAGATTTAACAGATTAAATGAGGACAAAACCAGTTTAAGCTGAATCGTTTTAGTCATATAATATTCATTACTTTCTCGGCATTAAAGAATCAGTCTTTGCTCTGTATCTATTATAGTCCGTGTTACAGACCCCCTTTATTAATTTATTAAAATCTGTCCAAACCTATAACATTTTTATTTACGGAAATCTTGTAATTTGGTCGTTTTCAATCAATCAAAAGGGTTATAGAGGCCCCAGGTTATAAAGGGCTTATTGGGCCCAATATATTTGTTGGTCATTTTTTTTTCGATTTTGTGATGAAATTATCTTACGATGGAATTGGAAAGCAATGAGTTTATGAGTTTTAGTTCCTTATTAAATTAATTAATTTAATGAATATTCAATAGTTGATCGGTGCATCATAAAGGAAGAAGATGGTCCGGGGTTGCGGTCATAAATAGCCTAAATAGTGGTAAATTAATTTAAAAAATTAAATTAATTGATTTAATGAATATTTAATAGTTGACCGTTGCATTATAAACGAAAAAGATGGTCCGGGGTTGCGGTCATAAATAGCCTAAATAGTGGTAAAACTATTTTATTGAAAGCCGACTTTTCGACCCTACTTTGCAGGTCTTCTTCAGGGAGGTGTGTTCAGCTAGGAGTTGAATATATATATATATACATAGAGCGGGATTTCAATCCAGCCCTTGAAGTGAACACAATAATGGATTAAAACTAACACTATGGCTATTGGCGAAATGGGCGTGATATCAAATCAAACGATCACTTCTAAAACACACCCATAGGAATAAAAAGAACACACTAAAAAAGAATACAAACGAAGCCGGGAGGCGGATATACGTGGAAGCAGCATTGTCCCCGCGCTCATTTTTCAAACGTTGCCGGGCCTGATTAAACTTGCCCAAACCGTGCTAGCGCTGGAAAACTGTGAAAAGAGAGCAATTTGTTCCCGTTATAATTTATTACCCTTTGTTCCAAAGGCCCATTCAATATGGCCGGTCCTCTTGCTGCGGCTCCGTCTCCTGTAGTTGTTCCGCGTCGCCATTTCATTAGCACAATATCAACTCTCCGCTGGGTCTGGCTCCGGTATTGTGCCCGCTGCCCCAGGTACCAGTATATCCTTCTAGTATAGCTTATTTCACAACTGAAGAGAAGCACAATGCATTATGGCCCTAGGTAATATTTTGCCAGGTAATCTGCATATTTTATTATCTGAGAACTGTGACGTACTAAAAAAAAAATAATTAAACATGAGTAAATGAAAAATAAACATCTCCCAAGAAAATTAATAGGTGTATTTAATTTGATTGGTTATATATATATATATATATATATATATATATATATATATATATATATATATATATATATATATATATATATATATATATATATATATATGTATATATATATATATATATTTCCTAATTATACTATGTTCTACTTTCTGTTCTACCTATACTACCTATACTTTCATATTATAACCCAATTTATGATATTTATTCCGACACAGATAGCTGAATCACTGGATACTACAATATCTATGATTCTTCAAGTTTTACTTGCTTGGTTTATAATTAAATTATCCGGGCGATTATGCAATACCTGATGATCTGTTATGTTATGACTATGTTTTGGTCCCAATGAACTTTAACATTGCTGTTTAGATATATTGGGATTAGCGTAACTGACTACGTTCACTCACATGATTTTCTGACCAATTTTAAACTTTTTTTTTTCAATTTTGAATATGTTCATTAATAATACCGCAATGAATTAGACTAATTTACCTGATAACAGATCAGATAAATCATTAAAGTACGATTTCATTGATGAACTAAAGCGATGTAAACGTGAACAATTATCACTGAAATCACTGTGTAAAATTTAATACACTGAAACATTGCTAAAACTAGTCCGATTTAAACGATTTTTTTAATAGTTTAATCGGAAATTTGATAACCTTTTAAATCATTTGATAAACCAATATACATCAGCGAGATATTACTGGCATTTCTCAGAATGAGGAAATCTAACTAAACCCGAATAAAAAAATTGGAGAGTTAAATGTAAAGTTATATTGGTTCTCCCAAATTTTATATATTGTAAATTAAATTATATAGTATTAATAACTATCTTGTCTTAATTTTTATTCATGTAACTTTCTTTTTTTTTTACAATCTTGGTCTTGGTCTTGTTCTTGCAACAATTAGGAGGTCTTGATTTTGGGCAACACTAGAGTCCACCTAAGGCGGTGGTTACACTGGATCCGTCACGACACGATACGACGACTCTACTGTTCAACTCAAAAACATATGATTTTCATTCATGTTTGAATGTTTATCATCCATTTAATTGTATTATATTCATCCAATATACATAAAAATAATAGTTAATTCCTTTCAGGTTGTTTAATAATTAATAAGTATTAATTACTGTATTATTTATTCCATAAATAATCTTAAAGTAATTCAAAATACAGTCAAAAATTACAATAATAGGTATTTTCATTTTATTATTAACAACAAATATTTATTATTGTCATTTAAATATCTAATACTCTTTCACTATTGGGGAAAATAAGTTGTGACTTTTTATCGTCAATAGTACGCAAAATATGAAAATTAAAAATATCATAAAACATTGTTAATTTTATTTATTATATATTTTAAATTTTAAAAAATAAAGATGAAATATATTTTTTTTATCTAGCTCATATATATCATGGTCACCTTTATTCTATAATGTAATTAAATATTATTTGGATTCTGCTTATTACTTTAAGTTATATGTAATTCATATTTAACAAATTAAAAATATCATTTTAACAAAAATTATCTTATTTTTAATACAATATACATTCTATATTTTAATCCGTAATAATTAAATGTTGTTTAAAAATGTCGAAATAACACCAGATTAGTTAAAAAGATTAATTCATATCGTGTTTCTTCACTCCCTATCAGTCATAAAAAAAAAATATTCAAAACCTCCTGAAAAATATTCGTTTTTTTTTTTATTCATTAATTGCATTTTTGTAGAATTCATATTGATACTATTTAATTAAATATAGTAAATAATTTTGGAAGGATTAATTAAATCCACACCTATTGTTAATGAAAGGCTTTTTTTTTTCGTTTAATTTAACTATGGTTTCAATATCTTTAGGTTGTCGTTTATTTCTTTTGCAATTTATTTCAGCAATTATTGTCATACATTTTAATTCCTACATAATATTGTAAATATATCATCAAATTGTTAATTTTAATGCATGGCTATTGAATCAATTTTTAAATTTAAAAAAAGGGTTACCAAATGAATTAACATATTAATTCACTAATTTTTTATTCATTTTTTCTATTCTTGCCTATAAATAAAGAAATTATCCAATATCATTCTGTAAAAAAAATCTATTAATTGCATTATTTTAAAATTTATATTAAAATTATTTTAATGAAATATATTAAAGGAATAGTTCGATAGAAGGGGCGTAGATAGGCAAACCCGCCCAACACGACGTCGTACGAAGTCGTAGGAATTTCAAACCGGTTTGTTTCCAAACCGATTTTTCAACACGACGGTCCATAAATATCAGTACTAATTTTATGAAAAATAAAATAAAATTAACACAGAAAATTAAATACAAGATATTTGATATAGTAAATAACGAACTTAATCGTTGAAAACCAATAAATAAAGGATAATGTAGTAAAGGTATAGGAATAAATATTGCAAGTCAAAATATATTTTATATCAAAAGAAACTGAAGTCATTAAAAAAATTGAACATAAATAATAATATTAATTTTGAACTTTAAAGCAATATTAATAAAATTAAAAATATAACTAACAAGAAAGATAGAATTAAGAAATTATAAAAAAAAAAAAAAGAAGTTTATATGATAAACAATTATTTATCTGATTGTTGATTATTTAATTTTTAACATTTAATCAATGACAGATTTAAGTTTCGAAATCTCACAAACACTCCAACGAACAAATTTTACATATAGAACTCCTTTTTAATATTAATTAAGAAAAATATTTATTTTTTTACATTTCGGCCTAGTTAGGCATTTTGGAATTTCTAATAAAAAAATAAATAAAAATAGAAAATCTTATATCTTCTAAGTATCCCTGATGTAACTTCTTTCACATCTAATGTTACACCGTTTTCATATTATTAATTTGTGGATATTAGCAAATAATAGTTTTTGACAATCCATATATTTATAATTAATTAGTTGTTAGATATTGCAATATTTTGATATTGTTATTTTTCTTTGTAATGGTTTTTGTTTTGTTTTTCTTTTGATAATTTCCGTTACTATCCCTACTCTCTCCACCCATCAACAACGTCAGCTATCAGTGATTCAATAATAGTAGTCAGTCAATCTATTCAAATTATCAAATTCTCAACCTCGCAAAATAATATTAAAATAAATAAATTTGACAAATAAAGCTTAAATCATCAATTTTGAAATGGAATTGAATAAAATATCTTTAGGTATTTTGATGCACGGCAACTAATCTACTAATGAATAACATTTCATATAAATTTATAAATGATAATGATAAAAAATCTGAAGTAAATAATAAACAAAATTAAATAATGTCAAAATTTCATGGTGATAAAACAAAAATAACGAAGATAATACATAAAAAAGCAGAAGTACAGATCAGTTTAAAATAATAATGAAAACAGATATAAAGGACAATGATAATACAGTTAAACTTCATGGAATGCTGATGAAATATCATGAATTAAAATATATACCCAATTTAAATGGAAACTTTTAAAAAGTATATATGTATATTAATTTTATAAAATTTATAAAAATAAAATACATAACTATATAACTAATATTAAAATTACGATTAGAAAACAATATAAAAAAGATGTTATACGTAAAGTAAATTAATTGCAGTAAAACCCATATCCTACCTATCAACATAAAGTGAAATGTATCCATTGCTTGCAAAAATATTATATATCGAAAAATAGAACAGAATATAAACAAATAGACTAAAATAACTTATACATAATGCTAAAATTATACACAGACGTTTATAACACTAGAAGTAGTGTTAAAAACAACCATAAATCTGACTTTGATAATAAACAATATTATATAATGCAGCCAGCAATAGAATTCGAAGTTGATTGGAATTAGCAGACGTTACTAGATACATATATAAGGCCTTTAACTGTAGATGATATATTAAATTTATAGTAATAAGCATAACCGTAATTATATATAAAGTATAAGTTTTATTTTTTCTTTGAATTATTAAAACAAAAGTAGAATATTTTTAATGTTCAATTCTATTTAATTACTATTTATTCTATTAAAAGTCGTTGGATATTTTCATTTTCATTTATGAAATTTATCTGTATTTTTCTGTAATTTTTATACTGAATTTGAATTAGTTTTGGATCTATCTATCGAATAAATAATATTGAAATAAATATTGATTAATTGGAAAACATGAAAAAACAATTTTGATGAAATTTAACTATTATTTAGTACATATATTATATAAGATTAGAAATAATGAATGAATTAGAAATCCGAGACGTGACGTTGCCATGGTAAGTGCATGTTTTTTGAACATACAGTGCAGAGCCCCTTTTCCGTCGTGTCGTACATTTTACGTGTCCAGTGTAACCACGGCCTAAGGTTCATGTAATTGCTGGTGAAATCTAGCATGAAATACTTTCTTCTAATAATTATCATTATTGTTATTATAATTATTTAGTTATGATGTCTTTTTTATAAATAATAAAAAAAAATGTTTTAATGATGTTCACTCAACAACTAAAAGTGATTTTTCATCTCTTTTGAATATTAACAATGTCTGGATACAATAGGGATCATAATAACTTTGCTTATTTTTTTCTTTTCTTGTTTTCAGTAGCTGTGTAAAATCAGGATTGAAATCGGAAACCAGGTCAAACGTGCCCCTCATGTGGAAAGAGTCTCCTCTTATCGTAATAAGACAAAGAGGAATTCCGTTGTAGATGGGAGATTGAAAAAGAATATTATTGTCAGCTGATTAGGACTAGGCGGAGCGTGGTGAGTTAGTGGCTGTGTAGCGAGCTGGAACGGCTCCTGGAAAATATCTCCACCCGGCTGGAAACAAACGTGATCCCCCTCCCCTTCTCCTTCCTTCGTAATTACTAGAGCATGAGAGCATTACTTCTCTTAGCCCACTTTTTATACTTCCACCAGAAAACATTTGTGTATGTGTTGCCTTAGGTTCCTTAAACGTAATAATGGTCCTTAGGGCTTTCTTATAGTTTAATTCGGGACTCGCTCGTTTTCAGATATAATTGATAATTTTAAGGTTGACAAATTGTCAGAGTTTGGAGTCTTTGTGTGATTTATAAGTTTCACCGATCTCTCTATCCATGTATGTGGGTTATCATGATCATGGGAAAAATTTAAAAAGATGCAATATAAAAAAGATAGAAATTATAAAAGGAATGATGTTAATACACTGACAGGCAAAAAAAAGGGCCGTCAGGCGTTTTCGGGAAACTGGTTCTTACAATAGAAGGCCCGGTTCTGGACGGCCAAGGGTAACAGAACCACGGGATGACCGGTTTTTGACTTTGAGAATTTTACGAAACCGGCATCCTATCGTTGTTCAAGCGATTCATCAGCTCGAAGAAGTTCGAGATCGTACCGCTCGAACCGGGATCGTACCGGTACCGAGATCGTACCGGTACAAAGAACGTACCTCTCGAACCGGGATCGTACCGGTACCGAGATCGTACCAGTACAAAGAACGTACCGCTACAAAGAACGTACCGCTCGTTGACCAGAACTTACAGAGTAACACGGCTGGCTTTTGCTCGAGAACACAGCCATTGGACTATAGATGAAAGGAGTGCTGTATTTTTAACAGATGAGTCAAGATTCGCTCTTCGATCTCCAGGCGGGCGTGAAAGGGTGTGGAGAAGAAGAAACGAAATATATGCAGCCTGTAATTTTTCCAAGAGCCAACCTTTCCAAGGTGGTTCCTTAATGGTGTGGGCTGGGATTTCAATGGAGCGCCGCACAGAATTGGTTGTTGTTCGTGGAGGGTCTTTGACGACCATTTGCTATGTAGATGAGATTTTGGAACCTCATGTGTTGCCTATACTCAACGAAATCGGCGATCGTACTATTCTAATCCACGATAATGCACGCCCACATGTCGCCCGCATAGTACAGACTTTTCTTCAAAAGAACAATATTTAGGTTTTAGTCTGGCCAGCACGTTCTCCAGATTTGAACCCTCGGATAACCTCGGAAGATGAATAAGAGCGCGTGCAACACTTCCTGATACATTGCAGGATCTTGAAAGGGCTCTTCGAGAGGAATGGGCTATCCTCCAGCAAAGGGACATTTCCCGACTGGTGGAAAGTATGCCGAGGCGTCTTCAAGAAGTAGTGAAGGCAAGAGGAGGAAACACGCGCTACTAAACGATGATGTAATTAATTTCATTTAGAATAATAATGGTTCGTTTTTCAATTTTTTTTCTCTAATCTTTCTTACCCAATCACATTTTGATTATTAAAGGTCAAAAAGATTATAAAACTCCATAAATACTAAGTATTATCTACAAATACCATGTATTATATACAAATACAACTTTTTTTACAAGTGGGTGAAATATTTTTAGATTAAAACCTGAAAAAATCAAGTGGGTGGAATTTTTTGCCTGTAAGTGTATAAAAGTAATTGTAATATAAACATAATAGTTCAACAAAAATAATAAATATAAGTAGTATATAAAAAATATAAATAAATGAATTAAATAGTAATTATACTAAATATGAATTAGTACAAAAAAAATCACAAGAAGTTATATTATTATTTTTTTGTCAGCGAGTAATAGACTGAACTCTTAGTTTCCTGGCCCTATATTCCAAACAATCTAAGAACAGAAAATATTTTACAGGATCTGGAATTGACTAAGCCGTTCTGTATCTACATTGGCATTATTTGTCACTTTTTAAAAGCTTAGAAAAACAGATAGTTAAGCGTCAATTTTTAAACTGGTTAGTCTTGTGTTTAGAAATTATCTCTTAGATCCTCTCAAAGCAATTATTTGTATATATATATATATATATATATATATATATATATATATATATATATATATTATTTTATTTAACTTCTGAGGCAATTTTTGTTTATTTTCAACCAACACATAAAAAATATATAAAATAAAAAAAACAATAGAAAAGAAGTTCTCTAAACTGCTTAGTATTTATCAATATGAATATTGTGCAAATTAGTTGAGTAAAGGGTCATAATTGGATTCGTCGTCCAGGAAAAGTTTTCTTAATTTACTACTGAATTATATTTCACATCTTCCGCATGATTTCTCGCATAATTTGTATAATAGTAGATATGAGTGGCTTCATATATTTGTTCTATAGGCTTAAATTATTTCTGATGATGTTATTTAAGAATGTTCAAGTAGAATCATGAAAAACAAAATCATTGGAATTGGTTTTTTGTCGACTTATTAAAAAATATAGGTGACCGTCGTTTATATGAAGCCGCTCATATTTATAATCGAATAATATACTAAGTAGAAAATATTATTCATTCGTATTAGCTTAGATCAGACAAGTTCTGTTTAATAACTCATTGGAATACTTTTAGCAAGAGGAGACTACAGACGGATATCTTAAGTAAGATTATCTACCAAAATCCTGGTATCTTGTCTAGGTTCTCCATAAATAAGAATATACTAATAAAGTATGTACATACTGTACACGATATACACATCCGGGTCCAACTAAATATTTTTTATGGGTTAGGAAACTTGACATTTCTTTTTCAAAAATTAATTACGAACTTTCATGGTAATCGAAAAATAAAAAATATTTTGCTGACCATTTTTTCCAGGCTATGACTCCAGCCGCAAATTATGATGGCTTCAATATGAAATCACCTATCTACACGTAATTTAGTATGGATTATAGAAAACTTGGCCATCTATACTATATTAAATGGCACTAACCAGACCTTAGTATATATATTAGAGCCTGGAATATATATATGAAGATAATTCTTTATTTATTCATGGTTTAGATGTGAAACAATTCAGCATTCCAAAAACTATCATTATCTTTGTGTGTTTTAAATAACGTTTGGAGAAAATCCTGAGAAGTTATAAATATTGGAATGAACTGCAATAAAATAATATCCTACCTTAAAATCGAGTCCAAAAATTAATATTTTTATTTTTACGAAAATCGTATTTCACAGGATCCACGTTAAACCCATTTGGGACCTTTTTTTGTTTTTTGAAGGACAAACCAAGTTGATATTCCTTTCCGCAACTCTAAAAAACTCTTAGAAAAGAATTGTCCTTAATAGCTTTTATGAGATCCATCTATATTTATATATTTATAGTAGATATTAGTAGAGCAATATATATATATATATATATTGTTTTTTTTTATTGCCATGAAAATTTCCTATTTAAATATATTTAACTTTTAAATATATATACTATAAAACTATAAACATAGATCGATCTCATCCGAGCTATTAATAGAAGTAAGAGTATTGAGAAAAGTCATTTATTTTTCGATTGGAAAGAGATTGTTTTTCAGGAGTTTTTGAGATGCGCAAAATGAATGCGAACTAAAAAAATATGGGTATAAAATGTATAATACGTGCAATCACGTATTCTCATACGCTTTACGTATTCTCATTTCACGAACGAGTCTGGCTAAATACGCAGTTTTATGTTATCCTACTTCCGATACCAGGTCGGTTTAGAAAAAGATATATATTTGGCATAAAGCTTCAGTATGAGTTCAATATTGATACGATTTGTACTGAACTATGGAATGAAGTGGGTTCAAATATTTTTCAAAGGTGAAATAATGTTGAGATAGACCTAAATTTTTTTCTTGAAAATCACAAACATTGTGTCTTCGGAACATATATCCACACAAAAATAAATATGAATTTAGGGCAATGTATCAGACATGAAATGGCACAAACTAGATACCCGCAAAACTTAAGTTTGGAGGTAAAAAATAAAAACTTTTGTGGAGATTTTCTTTACTTTTTTCTTTATAAAAGCGTAAAGTCTAAACGTTGACATGGCTTTGAAGACTAATAATTTAGCTTTTCAAAGGTTGTAGTAACGTCGACTTAAGGAAAATCCTAACTAGTGTTGAGTATTTTAGTAAACGGCACGAAAAATGTCTTCCATAAAAATAAATCCAAACGTTTTGTTTCTTATTCTAAAGCAAACTCGTATTTAAAAGTTTAAGTAGACGCTAAATACGAATCTGAAAGGTCTTTTCATGGCCAAATATTACTTGGCCTACTTTAATGGAAGTGTCTTTGGATTTTTGTAATTTATTAGACATTCAAATTCGCTCTATAAAATTAGCGAAATGTTTTTATATTTTATACAAAAATAAAAAAAATTGTTCAGTATATAAAAACTTAGAAATTAACAATGAAGAAAGTATGAAAACAGTGATATAAAAAAAATTATAACGTTTTATTCGGCTTCTGGGTGAATTGGCAAGCATCCATGTCCGAGGATCAAATATTTTTCGACCTGTTATTATCAAAGAAGGTTTTATTTAAATCGGCAATTTCGTATCTTTCCCTAGTAAGTTCTATTTATTTTAAGTTTTACTAAGCAATACATACAATACGTTTTAGTGGAAAATATTTCCATCATGAAAACATCTTCATATAATGTCAACAGAAATTAATTTATTATAGTGATGTAGAAGTGGTAACCGAAATCCCTTCGCCTTTTAGCAAGCAGTTGCGGCTAAAATAATTGAAATAATCCTAATGATCTTAAATAACTGTTCATTTGTGATTTAAGAGACAGACAATGTTTTATGGAGTGCAGTAGTAGATAATGAAAACTTACAATTGTGCTTATGAGTACGGCCGGGTCACATCACTTATGAATAATCTCCTATAAAAGCATAAAAATAGCAGATGATTCAATATAAAGGAAAAATGTGTCACTATTAACCTTCTTAAGGTAAGCAAAAAGGAACTTCAGGCTGATTTGTTGGATTGGTTTCCTTCCTTACCTGTTCTAATAGTAAACGGATGTTGTATAATGCACGGAACGCGCCAGGTTTTTAAATAATTAAAATGTATAAGATTGAACATGTTTACTTTAAAATTATACACGCCGCATTACATTTGAAGTTGAGTATCATACACTTTCTTCTTCTTCAGCTCCCATCTCTTCACCTCCTCCTTTATGAGGTAATATCTTGGGATGTAATTGCAACCATCTGAATTCTTCCATTTCTACGGTTGGGTCCTGCATTTCCATTATTTCCGGACCTAGTTCATATTCTCTCTCTACTTTAGAACAAATAATTGAACTAAAGCCCTTCAAAATACCTTTGGTACCCCAACCAACATAGAAATTGACAAAGAGCCGTTCTTTGACTGCGGTTAGAGCACCTGGCCAAATATTCGATCTCAGGACAACAGCACTATCTTCGTCTAAAAGAGTCGATGCTCTTCGCACATTCCACGCTGGTGAACTGTCAAGTATCATTATATCTTGTGACAGAGTGGTTAGGATAGGCGGTCCTACCTCGTGAGGTGGTACGGGTGATTCCTGTTCATCCTCCATTTCTGCTTCGACAACACTCTCAGCCGACCAAAACTCTGTCCTACCTTGCTCCAACAAAAATTGCTCATGGTGAACCCAAAATTCGAGAGTAGGGTCTAAAAGATCTTTTGTTGGGAGTGGCTGGTAATCAATATTTTCCATATATAATTGTCCTTCTTCAATTTCTACTGCTTCTTCTTCACCACCAGCAGAATAAAATCCTAAAGGAGAAACATGAGTAGTAGCAGTTATTCTTGCAATCTGAGCTCGGAGAAGTTCCATTTCAGTGCCTTGAAATTGAGGGTAACTGGATACAGGATTTGTCAGTACACCAGTAAAATATTTTTGGATCTGTCTAGCGCTAACGATCTGCAGCGGAGTGACATCTGGCAACATGATCCACTCCTCGCTTGGATCATTGGCTACTAGGTATACTTTTCGGTTAGGACCGTGTCCTGGTGGTTCAACAGGTACAATTACTTCCTTAATAATCTGAGGACTCGGTATCGGTGGGCTTACGTAAGTGTCAAGCTTACGTTTAGGTTCTTCTTCAATGAGAGAAGCTTCTTCGCTGAAATAATCTCTAAAATATTCTTCTTCATGTTCATTTTCGGAAGCTTCATATCTTTGTTCTTCTGCATGCATTGATTCGACGGCAACAGACATGAACTGTTTGAATCGTTCACCCATAGCTTCTGTTGTTAGTTCTGCTTCTACTATTATATAATCTCTTAGAGTCCCTAGAATTTTCCCCCAAAGTTTGAACTTCACAATTGGGTATGTCTTAGCTAGTAGTCTCATACCCATTTGTATATTATACGTGTCACTGTATGGAAAAGAAACTCCAGCTTCGTTTAATAGTCTGAAGAAGGGTACAAAGTCTAAATTACCGAATTTATCTTCATAACGTAATTCTGTTTGATAATAGCATTCCACTTTTCTATAAAAGCGCAATAAACACTTACCATCTTCAGCGTCTCTGGGTTCTTCGCTTAGTTCTTTATAGGTATCTTCACAATCGTCCGACAGGAAGAATTTTTTTATTCGTATTTCACGACTGAGTTCTTCAAAATACCTCATACAATCTTTAGGTCTCTCTTTCATTACATGATTAAGAATATCATTCAGATGATCCCAGATAGTCTCATTCCTGCAGCCTATTTTCTGAAGGTAGCTCTTAGCGATTATAAAGTCTCTTTCCAAGTTTATGTTAGGCAGCTGTGGTACATCATGAGTAGCTTCTTCCCATCCAGATAATACAGATTCCTCGTTTTCTAAAGGAGAAACTACATCAATTAATTTCTGCTTGTTTTGTTCGACATCAGCATTACTCTCTTCTTCAGTCAAGTGTCGTGATGTTATTTTCTTCGGTTGTTTTGTGGTAAGGTCCATACATACGTTTATTACTTACCTCATTTCCTTTAGTTTACCATGGTCGAAGAGAAAGCTTACATTCATTTTATATTTATATTATTTAATCATATGTTTTCTATTTGGATTCTATTAGTGATAAAACATATTTCATATTATGTAAACAATTTTCACAAAAATCTAAACGAAAATTTTTTGTTGTATTATTCAAATTCAAATAGTATGATAAAATTTTCATGTTCAAGTAAATTAAGTCACATATAACACAGAATGACAGAATTTCTCTTATAATCAAAGAGATATTAGGTAGGCCCAACATGTTTGGTATAAGTTATTAATTAGTATTATTATAACAGGTATTGGACGTGTTGATAATAAGACCAATTTTGGCTGCCGACTCTTCCAGACTTGTAAAAGCTTCCTGTACTGCCGCAAACGATCTTCCCATTATATCAATGTCGTCCGCATATCCAAGTATTTGAGTCATTCGATTTAGGAGGGTTCCTGCAGTCTGGATAGCAGAATCCCTTATGACTTTTTCATGGGTAAAGTTGAATACCACACATGCCAGAGCGTCTCCCTGTCTTACTCCTGTCGATGCTCTAAACCCCTTTTACAAGTCACCTTGTACTCGTACGAAACACTCATTACCCTCCATTACCATTGTCATTCTAACAAGCCTTACAAGTTTTTTGGTACATTCATTTCTACCATTGCTTTGTATGCTTCCTCACGATTTATGGAATCATATGCTTGCTTGAAATCAATGAAGATGTGATGTGTACCAATTTGATATTCTTTGGTTTTCTCCAGAAGGATTCGCAAGGTGAATAATTGATCGATGGTTGATTTACCCTTAATGAATCCGGCCTGGTATTTTCCGATTTCAGCCTCGGCATAAGAAATGATTCTTCTATAAAAAATCCTTAAAAAAATTTTATAGGCGGTGGGTAGAAGGTAGAGATGTGCAAAATTGTTCTCTGAGTAAAAAGTACAATTACAGATAATTTACTCAAATACTCGTCCGGTTCGAGTATCGAGTACTTCAATCATTACTAGATCTCATGATTGACGAGTACAAAAAGTAATCGGCTGTCCTCGTGAGTACTTTCTATTTTCAAATCTACTCAGCAATATTTTACTCTGAGTACTTTTCAAAGTAATCGAGTACTTCATTATAGAAATTACAGGAGTAGAATATTTAATATTTCTTCCATATTTAAGTCCATTGTTATCTAATGGGGGTATAGATTTTTAAAATAGTATCGATATTAATGTAAATCGATAAAATAAAGAATTATTAAAATATTTAAGATTTAATCAACTTTGGGGACCATTGTTTTTTTTTTTTGTTTTCTACACCACTTGACTTTTATGATAATGCTGTCGGATTTGAGATAGTGCCCCCGGGGCCCGACTTTTTGTAGCTTTTCGGATTATATCTACATCGGGGTCAAATATTAGGTTTTGGGGGGGCGCTTTTTCTGAAAATGATGTCGGACATGAGATTAGGGCCCCGGGGCCCGACTTTTTGTAACTCTTCGGATTATATCGAAATCGGGGTCAACTATTAGGTTTTGGGAGGTTCTTTTTAGGAAAATGATGTCGGATTTGAGATTGGGGCCCCGGGGCCCGACTTTTTGGATTATATCGACATCGGGGTCAACTATTAGGTTTTGGGGGTAGCTTTGTATGAAAATGATATCGGATTTGAGATTGGGGCCCGGGGCCCGACTTTTTGTAACTTTTTGTATTATATTGACATCGGGGTCACCTATTAGGTTTTGGGGAGGCGCTTTTTATGATAATGATGTCGGACTTGAGATTAGGGCCCCAGAGTCCGACTTTTTGTAACTTTTCGGATTATATCGACATCTGGGTCGACTATTATGTCTTGGGGGCGCTTTTTTTTAAAATGATACCGAATTCGGGAATGGGCCCCCCGGTATCCGACTTTTTTAACATTTTTGGATTAAATCGATATCAGGATCGACTAATAAGTTTTGGGGGGCGCTTTTAAAGAAAATTATATCGAATTTGAGATTGGATCATCCGAGCCCCGACTTTATTTAACTTTTTCGATTAAATCGATTTCAGGGTCGATTACTATGTTTTGGGGGGGGGCGCTTTTTACGAAAATGATATCGAATTCGGGATTAGGCCCCCCGGGATCCGACTTTTTTTAACTTTTTGGATTAAATCGATTTCAGGGTCGACTACTATGTTTTGGGGAGCGCTTTTAAAGAAAATTAAATCGAATTTGAGATTGGATCATCCGAGCCCCGACTTTATTTAACTTTTTGGATTAAATCGATTTCAGGGTCGACTACTATGTTTTGGGGGGGGAGCGCTTTTTACGAAAATGATATTGAATTCGGGATTGGGCCCCCCGGGATCCGACTTTTTTTAACTTTTTGGATTAAATTGATTTCAGGGTCGACTACTATGTTTTGGGGGGGGGGCGCTTTTTACGAAAATGATGTCGAATTCGGGATTGGGCCCCCCGGGCCTCGACTTTTTGGATTAATTCGATATCAGTGTTAACTCTTATGTTTAAGGTGGCGCTTTTTATGAAAATGATATCGGATTACGAATCATTTTCATAAATTTTGAGATAGTGCCCCCGGGTCCCAACTTTTTGTAAACTTTCGGATTTAATCAATATCAATGTTGATTTTGAGATTTTGAGGGACACTTTTTATGAAAATGATGTCAGATTTTTTAAAATTAAATGCGCCCCCTAAAACATAATAGACGGCCCTGATATAGATTAATTCCAAAAAGTGAATCCACTGGGTGCAATCTCAAATCTGACAGTATTTTCATAAAAACCGTCTTCCAAAACATATTTGTCGACCCTGATATCTATTAAATCAGAAAAGTGACTAAAAGTCGGTGCCCGGGCGCACTATCTGAAATCCGACATCATTTTCATAAAAAGAGCTCCCCAAAACCTAATAATTGACCCTAATATCAACCAAATCAGAAATATTACAAAAATTCGACGCTCGGGGGTCCCAATCCCGAATTCGATATCATTTTCATAAAAAGCGCTCCCCAAAACATAATAGTCGACCCTGATATCGATTTAATCCCAAAAGTTAAATAAAGTAAGGGTCCGGGGGCCCCAATCTCAAGTTCGATATAATTTCCATAAAAAGCGCCCCCCAAAACATAATCAAATTAAAAAAAGTCGGGGCCCGGGGTGCCCAATCTCAAATTTGGTATAATTTTCTTAAAAAGCGCCCCCCCAAAACTTATTAGTCGATCCTGATATCGATGTAATCCAAAAAGTTAAAAAAAAGTCGGATCACGGGGGACAGAATCCCGAATTCGGTATCATTTTCACAAAAAGGGCCTCCGAAACATATTAGTCGACCCTGATATCGATTTAATCCAAAAAGTTAAATAAAGTAGAGATCCGGGGGCTCCAATCTCAAGTTCGATATAATTTCCATAAAAAGCGCCCCCCAAAACATAATAGTCGACCCAGATATCGATTTAATCCTAAAAGTAAAAAAAGTCGGGGCCCGGGGGCCCAATCTCAAATTTGATATAATTTTCTTAAAAAGCGCCCTCCCCCCCAAAACTTATAAGTCGACCCTGATATCGATTTAATCCAAAAAGTTAAATAAAGTAGGGATCCGGGGGCTCCAATCTCAAGTTCGATATAATTTCCATAAAAAGCGCCCCCCAAAACATAATAGTCGACTCAGATATCGATTTAATCCTAAAAGTAAAAAAAGTCGGGTCCCGGGGGCCCAATCTCAAATTCGATATAATTTTCTTAAAAAGCGCTCCCCAAAATTTATTAGTCGACCCTGATATCGATTTTATCCAAAAAATTAAAAAAAAGTAGGGGTCCGGAGGCCCCAATCTCAAATTCGATATTATTTTCATAAAAAGCGCCCCCCAAAACATAAAAGTCGACGCTGATATCGATTTAATCCAAAAAGTTAAATAAAGTCGGGGCTCGGATGATCCAATCTCAAATTCGATATAATTTTCTTTAAAAGTGCCCCCCCAAATTTTATTAGTCGACCCTGATATCGATTTTATCCAGAAAGTTAAAAAAAAGTCGGATCACGGGGGGCAGAATCCCGAATTCGGTATCATTTTCACAAAAAGCACCTGCGAAACATAATAGTTGACCCCGATGTCGATATAATCCGAAGAGTTACAAAAAGTCGGACCCTGGGGCCCTAATCTCAAGTCCGACATCATTTTCAGAAAAAGCGCCCCCAAAAACATGATGGTTAGTCGTTATAATATCGATTAATGAGGGGTTAGAATTGGTCATGTTGAATATGGCTGCCATTATTGAAGGAAATAAAAGAAAACATTTTTACTCTTTATAATAATGACGGAGTAGTTGGAAAATAAAATGTACTCTTTGTAGGTTAGCTGAGTACTTTCTGTAATTCGATATAACAGCGCGAGTATTTTCTGTACTTAACTAAATCATGATTAACGCTGCGTGAGTAATCTCAGTACTCATAATAGTCGACCCTGACATCGATTTAATCTCAAATTCGATATAATTTTCTTAAAAAGCGCTCCCTAAAACATAATAGTCGACCCTGAAATCGATTAAATCAAAAAAGTTAAAAAAAAAAGGGGGCCCGGGGGCCTAATCTCAAATTCGATATAATTTTCATAAAAAGTGCCCCTCAAAACATAATATTCGACCCTGAAATCGATTTAATCCAAAAAGTTAAATAAAGTCGGGGCGCGGGGGGCCCAATCCCGAATTCGGTATCATTTTCATAAAAAGCGCCCCCAAAACATAATAGTCGACCCTGATATCGATTTAATCCAAAAAGTTAAAAAAAGTCGGATCCCGAGGGGCCCAATCCCGAAGTCGGTATCATTTTCATAAAAAGCGCCCCCCAAAACATAAAAGTCGACGCTGATATCGATTTAATCCAAAAAGTTAAATAAAGTCGGGGCGCGGGGGATCCAATCTCAAATTCGATATAATTTTCTTAAAAACCGCCCCCCAAAACTTATTAGTCGACCCTGATATCGATTTAATCCAAAAAGTTAAAAAAAGTCGGATCCCGAGGGGCCCAATCCCGAAGTCGGTATCATTTTCATAAAAAGCGCCCCCCAA